TATCTTACGACATACTAATAACACTAATAACTAATAACACAATAATTAATACTAACACTAATTAACACTAATAACGCAATAATTAATTATTATTAATTATTATTATTATTATTATACGGATAGAAGAGTGACAATTGATAATTAAAGACGAAAACAAAAGGATCAGTTCTCATTCTTTCCTTTTCACACAGAAGTGATGATTAACAGAGCGAGGAGATTTCTCATTGCATTTCTTATCAGACTGTTTGTTTGTAGTATGTCGTTTTAAATATAATTTACATGGACAATATTTGTTTTTCAGTTTCAGTTTATGAATAAAAGTTAAATTGCCATTTCTTTCCATATTTTCACTCATTTGGATCACCCTACCTGACGAAAGCCTTGATGTCCCAGTTGTAGGAGCGACAAATAATAACTTGATGATGCATCTGATGTGGAAAGAAGATCTGTTGATCTGCATCCCAATCATTACAAATACTGCAGAAGACCTGCTGGAACCAACATGGACCAAGATTCTCACAGAAATCAGTCAAGTTTGGTGAAGGAGAGATCATGGTTTGGGGTTACATTCAGTATGGAGAGATCTGCAGAGTGGATGATCAACATCAACAGCCTGAGGTGTCAAGACATTTGTGCTGCCCATTACATTACAAACCACAGGAGAGGGACAATTCTCCAGCAGGATAGCACTCCTCATACTTCAGCCTCCATATCAAAGCTCCTGAAAGTAAAGAAGGCCAAGCTGCTCCAGGATTGGCCAGCCCAGTCACCAGACATGAACATTATGGAGTATGTCTGGGGTAAGATAAAGGAGGAGGTGTTGAAGATGAACACAAAGACTCTTGATGAGCTCTGGGAGTCCTGCTGAACACTTTCTTCTTCATTCCAGATGACTTTATTAATCAGTGATTTGAGTCATGTCAGAGATGTATGGATGCAGTCCTCCAAGCTCATGATGGAGTCAGACACAATATTCATTCTGTCTCCACTGCAGCAGGACTTTATATTCTACACTGGACATTATTTCTGTTCAGTGATGAGACTTTAGTCTAAGCAGAGTCAGACCTTACTGTCCTCATCAAATCAGTCAACATCAAGGCATGATCATATTTTATTGTGCTCAAATAAGTGTAATCTAGAGGCCTTTGCCTTTCTAAAACTTGGATAGGCCACAAGATATTGGCCAGATAAGCGATTAATGCCTGATGCATCAAATATAACACATTTCCACCATTTTTTGGTCTAAATGTCTAAAAAACTTTTAGATTAAATCAATGATTTTTTAAAATACATCAGGCTTCACAGTGCTAATCTGACCTCTGACTAATCCACTGATAGCTTGACTTCCTTTAGACTGTAAACACTGCGCCTCTTTCCAAACACTAATCTTGTGTTCTTCCTGTTCCTGCATGAATGAAGGCCAGCCTGAAACGCCTCACAAACCGGTTTTTACATCTGCATTCCTTACACAAACAATGCGCTCAGATATGGAGATTGCGGAGTCCAGGGTTCCCACTCTTTCATGGACACCAGATTCAAGCACTAAAGCATTAATTTTAAATCAAGCATCTTTGTAATTCATACCCCAGCATGAGTAGCGTCATGAGAGCTCTTACTGTACTTAACATTTCACTTACACTTAATATTTACCTTACACGTTAGACCAGTGGCTCTCAAACTTTTTTCATCAAGTACCACCTCAGAAAAAAATTGTCTCTCCAAGTACTACCAAAATGAGCAGTATTGAAATACAGTGGCGCAGTAGGCCCAGTAAAGCAGTTGCAACTCTGCACAGTTAAAAAACGTGACAGATTACCTCAGAAATGTAGGCTATGTCAAATATGGCATATTATATACATCAATTTTGATCAATTTCGAAATGTGTAGCATGTACATGACATATTTCATTCCTCCGTGTACCACTAGAAGGAAGCCTGCATACCACTAGTGCAGTGGTTCCCAACCTTTTTCTTAGGGGCCCCCCCCATAGGCATATACAAACATTGGAGCCCCCCCACCCCACCATTAAAATACACACTCACACACACATATGTACTATATATATATATATATATATATATACTGTATGTGTGTGTTTGTGTAATATTAATATATAATATGTATAGACACTATAAATGAATCAGTTTTAACTTGTCTTGGCCTTCAATAAAACCAAAATTTAGGTAGGCTTTGCCATACTGTTTAATCTTTTTCTTCGCCTCTGAAGAATCACTGCATTTACGTCTCTCTGCCGATTTTGTTTTGATTTTGCCTTTACGACACATTGACAAGCACATTGTGTGAGTGAGCAAAATTTAAATAATTATTTAAAGTTGTTTATTTTAATTATTTTTACTATTATGTTGGAATTTTAAGCATATGTTTTGATATATATATATATATATATATATATATATATATATATTTGGTACTTAAAAATACATATATAATAGTAGGGCTGCTCGATTTTGGGAAAAATCATAATCACGATTATTTTGGTCATAATTGTAATCACGATTATTTAAAACGATTATCAGTTAAAGTCAAAATTATTAGTGCTCCTGAGAATTTTTTTTAATATAAATATTTCCCAAATTATGTTTAACAGAGCAAGGAATTTTAACAGTATTTCCTATAATATTTTTTCTTCTAGGCTTATTTGTTTTATTTTAGCTAGAATAAAGGCAGGTTAAAATATTTAATTTAAGGTCAATATTATTAGCCCCCTTAAGCAATAAATATTTTTGATTGTCTGCAGAAGAAACTACTATTATACAATGACTTGCCTTATTACTCTAATTAAGCCTTTGAACTGCACTTTAATCTGAATGCTTGTATTTTAAAAAATACCTAGTGAAATATTATGTGCTGTCATCATAGCAAAGATAAAAGAAATCCGTTATTAGAAATGAGATATTAAAACTATTATGTTCAGGAAAAAAAAACTTCTTTCCATGAAACAGAAATTGGGAGGAAAAGGGTTGCTAATATTTAGGAAGGCTAGTAATTCTGACTTCAAGTGTTTACATACAGTTATTTTCCACCCTGCAAAGGAAAGAGAAATAAATACAATAGAATAAAAATATTAAACAAACTGTGCTTTATGCATCTTCACTGTAAGAAAAACACTTTAGCTACAGCAGTCCTTCAGTCAAGACTAGTGAGGGATTTTCTAGTTGTTTGATTAATAATCATAGAAACCACCGGCAGTAGGAATATTTCTCGCTGTCTCTTTGGTTTCTCTTTCACATGTCTTTTGATTCTCAACTCGTTTGTTTATTACACAAATGAGGGTTAATATAAATAATCACTAATCACCGCGTTTTGACACCTATTTGACCATTAGAAAGCTCATGTTAATGACTTTAGATGTCTGCACTCCTCTGCTCGTCTCAGAGTGCGAATGAGCGAATGCTGAGCGGCCGCATGCTTCTGACTGAGTGTGCTTGCTGCGCACACACACATAAGCACGCGCTCGTTCGGGCTTTTAGGAGCAACACGTGTACAACTAGAAAGGTGGCGGTATATGATGCAATAAGCGTTTATCTCGATTAATGCTTTTTTATAATCGTTTGAAATCAAATTGGATTTTGGATTAATTGTACAGCCCTATAATAATAGTGGAGCATTTTTATGCCTTTTTCTACCTCAACACTTATCCTCTCCCGCGCCCCCCTTGTGAACTCTGGCGCCCCCCTTAGGGGGGCGCGGACCCCAGGTTGGGAACCACTGCACTAGTGGTACACGTACCACAGTTTGAGTACCACTGCGTTAGACCATTTCAAAAAGTCCAAAGAAACTTTGATATAATTAGTTGAACTCAATGCTGGTGATGTTAAAAAAAGGTCTCTGAAAATATGGATTAAATGTGCATTATTTGTTATTGTACGAGATTTAAATTGAGTATTTTTAAAGATATTTTTTCTCAGCTTTTATCATTCTGTATTTGACAGTATAACACCATTAATGAACGGTTTCTGTATTTAATGATTCACAAGTGTTTATTTGTGGTTGTGAACTGCATTATAGGATGTTGATCTCTGCTCTGTACACTTTTGATGTTGAAAAATTCAACTCTACACTTTAACAGAGTGACTTTATTTACTTTTTTTAGCTGCAACCCAGTACTGGGAAACACTCACACACACATTCATTTAACACGGCCATCACTTCACTATAGCGCATGTGTTTGGATTGTGAGGGGAACCGGAGCACCCAGAGGAAACCTATGCCAACACAGGGAGAACATGCAAACTCCACACAGAAAGGCTAACCGACCCAGCCGGGACTTGAACCAGCGACCTTCTTGCTGTCAGGCCACAGAGCTAATCCCTGAGCCACTTTTTAGTCTAATGCAATTGTGAATAGTGGATGGGGCTATAGGGGGACGATTTCAGATACAGCAATTATCTTTATGCGCTTTCTGACCATTGGGTGGGGTCCCAACGACTCTCCCTTTGTCTCTATGAACGTCTGGACGATACGATCAAGCTGATTGGATTAACATCTATGAATTTAACTGTTTTGTTGATTAGATCTGGGTGGGTGAAACGTCAGCGCCTGGACAAGTTCTTTTTACTATCTACTTCATTTGCATGCTTTAGAATATTGGTGGCTCAGTGGTTAGCACTGTGGCCTCACAGCAAAAAAGGTCGCTGGTTTGAGTCCTGACTGGGTGAGTTGGCATTTCTATGTGAAGTTTGCATGTTCTCCCCGTGTTGGTGTGGGTTTCCTTCGGGGGCTCCGATTTCCCCCACAGTCCAAACACATGCGCTATGATGAACTGGGTGAACTAAATTGGCTCTAGTGTGTGAATGTGTGTGTGATTTGAGAGTGTATGGGTGTTTCCTAGTACTAGGTTGCAGCTGGAAGGGTATCCGATGTTTGAAACATATGCTGGAATAGCTGGTAGTTCATTCTGCTGTGGGGACCCCTGATAAATAAGGGACTAAGCCGGAGGAAAATAAATGAATGCATGTTTAGAATTTGAGTTTTCTCACCTCTGATTGGCTGGCAGCAGGACGGGGCAGCACTTCTCCCTGTGCCAGCGCCCCCTGGCGTTCCTGAACCACATTACCCATCCTAACCTGATCCATTCATGCACGCAGCACACAGGGGACTCACCGGCCGACACGCAAATCACACCTGCAAACACAGGAGAGAAATATCATCATCATTACCCCATATATAACCTAGGCATGGGGCGATAAATAGTGTCAAGGTAGGAAAAGTCAAGGTTTTAAAACCCCTAACATTTTCTGTTCCATTCCTACTTTATATTTATTTATATATTTATTATTTATTTATATATTATTTATATTTTATTTATATCTATAACTGTTTTATTTAGTTTAGAGCAACAGTATCTCCAACAGAAACGGAGCCTCCACTTCATAAGCTACTGGTCAGCCCACGATTTACCAAACATCTGAAAAACAAATCACTAATACACCAACATCCAGCACGCTGTCGAGCTGAACAGTGCACTGGCTTTACTTTATATCCACAGAAAAGAAAAATCTCCAAAGATGCTTTTTCAAGGTGTAGAGAAATCTGTTTTTAAAATGAATGAAGACAGCAGACGTCATTGAGTTATTTTAATTATTCAGCCTGCCAGGTTTACGGTCCCAAAATATTTAAAATGTTTCTTAAATTAAAATATATTGTGTTTAATGGGCAAAAAGTATTTGCTTTAACTTATTCTAGAGCAGTAATCACAATATTGTTTTATTTTTTTCAAAGATTATCATACAGTCAGAATCTTACACCAGCCGGTGCCTAATATAACCATGCCAAAAAAGCAGAGACTTGTTTGATACTCCGCAAAGATGCTGTAGCGGCATGCTGAAGCTGAGATCTCGGTAAGGGCAAACAATAACGAGCGAGTCCATTGTGCAACTTGGTCTCATCGTTTATTTTTAATCACATCTTGTGCCGTCAAATCAGTGTAAAAGCTTCATTCCTCGTCAGTAGCACCGTCACCACAAACAAACTCACGGCCTTACTCACCCGCTTACTACTTTGGCTGTCTTAAATCCCGATTTGCATTGACAGAATAAAAGTCTTCATTGACAAAATCACAAACAAGAAAAGAATACTCCAACATAAAAAGGAAATGCCTAAACCTGAATAGAATAATTATCTAATGTCAACTTAATAATGATCAAATCATATAATCAACCCATTCAATCCAAACATTAAAATAGAAGAAAGAAAAGGCTCCAACAGATGCTTTTTAGAAAACTGATGAACCTAACAAAAAACCTGTGAGGATTTCAATTTACCCAAAAATGACAAGAAGAGGGCGATGCAGTGGTGAAGTAAGTAGTGCTGTCGCCTCACAGCAAGAGGGTCGCTGGTTCGAGCCCTGGCTGGGTCAGTTGGTGTTTCTGTGTGGAGTTTGCATGTTCTCCGTGCGTTTGCGTGGGTTTCCTCCGAGTGCTCCGATTTCCCCCACAAGTCCAAAGACATGAGCAATAGGTGAATTGGGTGGGCTACATTGGCCGTAGTGTATGTGTGTGAAAGAGTGTGTATGGTTGTTTCCCAGTGATGGGTTGCGGCTGGAAGGGCATCCGCTGCGTAAAACATGTGCTGGATAAGTTGGCGGTTCATTCCGCTGTGGCCACCGCTGATAAATAAAGGGACTAAGCCGAAAAGAAAATGAATAAATGAAAGGAATAAACACTGATTAAAGAAGAAGAAAAAGGGTTTTTAGGTGCATTCATCATTTTGTTTTGTTTTTTTTTATTTTGTGTTAATTTAACACCCTGTTCATCACTAATTATTACGTTATTACGTAAATTTATGCTGATTTAAATAAATATTTGGTGAGTTTCATTGAATGATTCAACACAGAGAATCACAACAGTAAAACATTAGATACAAAGATGTGCTTAAATCTCATTCATAAATAATGCAAAAAGTCAATATTTTACACATAGGTAAATATTAGATAATGTATTGGCTTGCACAAATTAATGAGCAATATATATTAATTATCAGTATTAATAATAAATTACATTTATTATTCTTTCTTAATGCCAGTTCATACAGATCAATTGTTCATTATCTAGTCATTGTCTACAACTTCATTTGTTTGCCATTCGTTGTTTACAAATTTTAAGTAGGGCTGCACAACATGTCATTTCAGCATCGATATCGCAACGTAATCATTCGCAATAGGCACATCGCGAGTATGCGCAATGTTCTGCTGGATTATAATTAATCATTTAGCAAGTGTTTTTAAGCCCTGTGACTGTGTAAGCGTTTTAAAAACATTCGGTCATAAGTAACTGTACTGTACTTTCAATGTTACGACAGTATAATAATAAATAATTGTGTTTAACTGTTTCTAAAACGAAGACTGTACAGTATTACTTGACATTTAATTATTTAATTACTGTATACATTAATACAGTTTGACTTCTCAGGAAAACAATGAAATGTTGTTTATTTAATTTGCATATTTTTCTTTATTGGATTTATCTATGCTTGTAGATTGTTTATTATATTTTATGCACTGCCTTACAGAATTATCCCAATCAATCTAAAATGATAAATTCTTTGCATATAGTTTATATTAAACTCATTTAGGGAAATTGTATTCGAATCGCAATATATTTCACAGAATAAAAAAAACATTGCAATGTTAGATTATTCCAATATTTTTCCAATAATATTTTTTAAATATATTAGTAAACATTAACACTAACATGATCAAATGCAATAGAAGTAATATTTACAGTTGCTTAACAAATGGATGTTTGCAAAGAGTCCTACAAATAACATTTTATGCAAGACATTACATTTATTTTCTTGCAATTTTTAGGAGAAAAAAATGTATTATTTGTCATTTTCGTAGGATTTTCATCACAGGCCAGCATCACCATGAATGAATTAATCTTGCATGAAAGCTGTCCGCATTCAAAGACCAGTTGATGAAATGAAAATCACTCAAATATAATGAAATCCACTCAACTCGCCCAAAGCAGGTCAGAGGAGCTGATGTGTAACGTGTGAATCTGGCCGGATCAAATAACATCTGAAAGGGTCACACAGATGGAGCTCTAATAATAGCGCAAACGCTAAATAATTCAAGGTCCTGACAGACGGTGATATGAGCAAGGCCTGAGCAACATTACTTCATATAGCAGACAACTTTAAATAGTTTTCTGAATATAAAATAAACATCATTTATTCTGTTAATGGCTGGGCAATATGACAATAATCGGATAACACGATACAAGTCATCTCATATCCTTATAACAATATATATATATATATATATATATATATATATATATATATATATATATATATATATATATATATATATATATATATATATATATCCCAATAAACTAACATTTGTGTAAAAATTAAATCAAGTAAAAGTTTATACATGTTGACCCCATGTAAAGGACTATTTCTTTTTTACATTTTAAAGTATCTACTCATTCGTGATCATATTTATCACTTTCTTTAAAACTTTAGGGCAATTGTTTGGTTTAAAATGTAAAAATATCAAATAAATATTAACAAGTAAAAAAACACTTTTCAAAAACTAATTATTACAGGTCCAACATAAAAATAATAAACATCCTCAAATAAAATGCAAAACGTAACATTGAAATTTTAAGATGGCAAATTTGTCATGATGTTGTTATCAACAATGTATTTTGTCACACCATGAAGTAAATGATTGCAATAGCCATCCAAAAAATGTATTGCAATTAGTAGGGACGTAACGGTATCAGAATTTCACGGTACGATAATACCTCGGTATGAATGGTACGGTTCGGTATTTATTGAATAATTTACAGGAAAAACAAAACTAATGAAAAGACTCGAAAAAAGTGCCAAAAGTGTTTATTTACCTCAGCACTGAACATATTAATGACATACAAATCAGCCGTCTATCTGTAAGTTTCGAAACAGGAACTTCAATTTTTCAATTTTAATAACAAAAAACTATTAAACCATATAAAACATGAAGTTTCAATTTAGTATTGTTGAAAACTCATCACATTCAACATGTAATCACTCACTCACTCAGATAGAGATGGGTTTTTAAGGAAAATGATCATATAACTATAATCTGGTGAAAGCTGGGATCTGGGCATGTCCCCTGCAACAGAATAAACCCTCTCATTTGGGACTGAGGTTTCTGGGACAGAGAGATATGATTTAGCCAAGGTTGACAGCAGTGGGTAACGTTGTGCATTGTCTTTCCACCACTTGAGAGGACAAGCCATGAGTGAGATAGAGGTCTCTCTGCAGTACAAGTCAATGTCTGCATCAATCTAACAAGTGTGCTGTGTTCTGCAGTCCCCATGACTGTTATTAGTCGTATTCCCCGACTTATATTTCACCACAGTCTGGCAGTGCCTGCATACTGTTTTTGTCTTTGTCTGTCACCTTTTCTCCTTTTTCGTATATTTTTAGAAAGAAACCGAAATGCTTCCACACATCCGACTTAAAACCCGCTTTAGGTTCCATCATTTCCAGCTCTTTTTCTTCCCCGCTACTAGCAGCACACTCCATTTCCACATTACTGGATCTGTAGTGACAACAGACCGCAAAGGATGATGGCCACGCCTGGGCTGATGGGAATTGTAGTTTCCGCTACCTCCCGTTCGCTTCATTCGCCTGAGCAAACTTTTCTCAGAAATATAGTTTTCTTGAGTCGTGCGCCTACGGTAATATTGTAAAAAATTACTATTGCGGTATGACGGTATTTACAATATTGTTACATCCCTATCAATTAGATATTTTCCCTAAATCGCCCAGCTCTAGACACACACAGGCTAATTGGAAAAATGTGCCCTGGGGTACATTTTTGAGAACTGAGAAATGTGTGCTTGTGGGTGCACTTTATGAGAAAAATGAACGCTACAGGGTGGCACTGCTGACTGCTTACCTCCATATGGCCTTTTTTTTCTCTCTTCACTGGTTTAGCGGTGGCTTACTGTGAACATCGCTAAACTTGGGAAGTGGAGCAGAGCAGACCAGGTTTCGAGCGTGAGAAATGATCATTCCAGAAACCAGAAAAAAACAATCCCAAAGAAGCTGCAGGAGGTCATGGTAGAAGCAAGCAGCCAAGATTGTTTTCTCTTATAGTTTGCTTTTTGAAAACCCGATTGGTTGAGCTTAGGGAAGGGTGTGTGTGGGTCAGTCAAAATAAAGCTAATTTATTATGCAGGACAACAAGCTGACCGGCTTTTCTCATAGATGACAATGAGAAGTACGGTAGTATTTGCAGAAATCTAAACAGCGTCCTCTGGTAGATTTACGAGAAACGTACCCTAGTAACATATTTGAGATTGTCAAAACAGTACACAACGCCCTCTAGTGGATTTGTGCAAACAAAAAATTCAAGAAAACATAGTCCAGGGTAGAGCTGCACAATATATCGTTTAAGCATCAATATCTCAATGTGTGAATCTGCACTAGTCACATACAGTTGAACTCAGAATTATGAGCCTCCTGAGTTTAGATGTTTTTCAGCACATTTGTAATCATAATAGTTTTAATAACTCGTCTCTAATAACTGATTTATTTTGTCTTTGCCGTGATGACAGTAAATAATATTAGTCTAGATATTCTTCAAGACACTTCTATACAGCTTAAAGTGATATTTAAAGGCTTCACTAGGGTAATTAGGTTAACTAGACAGGTTAGGGTAATTAGGCAAGTCATTGTATAACGATGGTTTGTTCTGTAGACTATCGAAAAAAAATAGCTTAAAGAGGCTAATAATTTTGTCCCTAAAATGTTTTTTTTTTTAATTTAAAACTGCATTTATTTATCCCAAATAAAAGAAATAAGACTTTCTCCAGAAGAAAAAATATTATCCGACATGCTATGAAAATTTCCTTGCTCTGTTAAACATCATTTGGAAAATAAAAAAAGAAGAAATAAAAAAATCTAATTCTGACTTCAACTGTACATGTAATTTAGGATTATAATTAACCAGCAACCTCAGTCATTTAGCAAAGTTTAACTTAAAAATAAAAATATTTCAACTATTATATTAATGTTTTTTATGGCCTGTCACTGTAAAATTTAAAAGCAAAGAAATTATAAAGTTTGCCAAAAATATTGTTTCCTTACACCATGAAGACTACGAGGTACGATTTTACATTTGTTTACTGAATTTCTGTTCCTCAGTACTCTTAGAGTCCACCAAAATCATTAAGTACTGTTTTTTTCCCATTTTCTTCTTTGATTTATTGTTTTTATCTGTGTTTTAATTTGTGCATAAAATTATTTCGTTAATTATTTTTTTGTATAATTGTGTACATTTTATGCAGATGCATTCCATGTTCATATTTCAATAGGGTTGTATACCATCCTAGTATACCAATACTAGTATCGGAAATACTGGCTTATACCGATGCCACAATTCTTGCAGTATCAGCGAGTATTTCCATTACTAGTATTAGCGAGTATTTGAAACCTTAAACAGATCTGATACCATCTATTTAAATGAGATGTATGCCCGCTAGCCTTACTTAACACTGCATACTGTTGAATGTCAGATAATAAAAATACTCTAGTTCACTGTATGTATTTGTTCATGTTTTATTAATGGATAAATCTAAAGCACACTGTAAATCAATTGTCAATTTTTACAGGACTAGTAGTACACAACGGTTTCTACACACACTAGTATTGATTCAGTAATCTGTATCACCCTGAGCTTAGCTATTGGAATCGGTATCGGAAAGGGAAAAGGGGTATTGGAACAGCCGAATATTGCAATATACATCACAGAAAAACAAAATATCACAATGTCAGATTTTTCAAGTGTCATGCAGCCATAGTCCAGGGTATATTTGTTGGTTCTCAAAAATGTAGCCCTGGGCACATATTTCCATTGAGCATGGGTTGCCAAGTCAGGTAAGTTAAAATGTAAACTATCAGGTCAGGAGTAAAGCTGTGCTCTATTCTCAGCTGTGGAACCAGAGGCTCTGTGGGTGAAAGGTGCTTCACGCTGACACACATTCAGTACATATAAGCATGTCAGGACGGGCCACACTGAAAATAAAACCCTCTGAAAATCAGGGCTGCACAATATATTGTGTCAGCATCAATATTGCAATGCGCACATCTGCAATACTCACATCGCAAGATATGCAATGTTGAGCTGGGATTATAGATGACCAAAAACCACAGATCAAAACACCATGCTCACTGCAGAATTGAACCACTATAGGAACGCTTCACATTCAGTGCTTCTCAGTAGCAGAAGTCATCATAGTTGGTAAACTCTGAGTGCAGTGAATGGGAGAACACAACAAATCATTATTTTACAATCCTATTTGCACCAATAATAAAAGAAAAACTAAATGATGGTGTCATCAAGACTTTCAAAAAAAAAAAAAAAAAACAGAAGAGAGAGCAACGTCAGATTTTCTGTCCTGCCCCCATACACTGAGCAATACAAACACCAAGCAAAGAATTTGTTTTTGTTTTTTTTATGCAAATATGATATAACACAAACTTTATAAATGTATGTATTGTTTATCAGAATATTAAACATTCAAAGATTTAAGATACTGATGGTTATTAAACTAATAATGACCATATTCAGAACTGAAAAGGGTCAATAGAGTGAAAGTTTATCTAATGCCTGTGTGAGCATTACAAGCCAGTTTAAAGGTTCGGGCACAAGAATATTTTTATGAAGAATATTGATTTTATTGAGGCTGCACAGTAACTCAGTGGTTAGCACTGTCGCCTCACAGTAAGGTCACTGGTTCGAGTCCCGCCTGGGTCAGTCTGCGTTTCTGTGTGGAGTTTGCATGTTCTCCCCATGTTGGTGTGGGTTTCCTCCGGGTGCTCTGGTTTCCCCCACAGTCCAAACACATGCGCTATAGGGGAATTGATGAACTAAATTGACTGTAGTGTATGAGTGTGTGTGAAGGTGAGAGTGTATTTGTGTTTCCCAGTACTGGGCTGGAAGGTCATCCACTGTGTAAAACATATGTTGGAATAGTTGGCGGTTCATTCCACTCATTGTGATAAATAAGAGACTAAGCTGAAGGAACATTTACATTTAGTCATTTAGCAGATGCATTTATCCAAAGCGACTTACAAATGAGGAAAATGAATGAATGGATGATTGTATTGAATTGTGTACACAGCGAGGACTATGCAGTGTTATTTAACATTTGATTATTAAATTTCTGTACCTGAATACAGTTTGAAAGCCATAAAGCGCTGTATATTTCACGTTTATCTTTGCTATTGTAGTTATCCATGATAGTTAGGGCTGACCAGTATGACTATACATATTGTTACCGCAGAATGAAATGTGTATTGCATTTTTTATATTGTGAAATGTGAAACATGAGATAGAGTAGAACTTGTTCATCTAAAAACATATTTGTTTATTATATTCATAAGGACAAAAATTAAGTAGAAAATAATCAAATAAGATCAAGTTATTTTCTTTTCATAAATATTCTAGCTTAAATATTATAGAAAGCCCTTCTGTACATTTCTGAAATTCATTCATTCATTCATTCATTCATTTTCTTGTCGGCTTAGTCCCTTTATTAATCTGGGATCGCCACAGCGGAATGAACCGCCAACTTATCCAGCACGTTTTTACGCAGCGGATGCCCTTCCAGCCGCAACTTATCTCTGGGAAACATTCGCATACACTCATTCACACACACACACTCATACACTATGGACAATTTAGTCTACCCAATTCACCTGTAACACATGTCTTTGGACTGTGGGGGAAACCGGAGCACCTGGAGGAAACCCACGCGAACACAGGGAGAATATGCAAACTCTACACCGAAACGCCAACTGAGCCGAGCTTGAACCAGCGACCTTCTTGCTGTGAGGCGAATGTGCTACCCACTGCGCCACTGCGTCACCACATTTCTGGAATAACTACCTTTATTTTAAAAAGTATATCATGAAAGAGGGTATTGGTATCGGGCACGGTGCCTCAGTGGTTAGTACTGTCGCCTCAAGGTCACTGGTTCGAGTCTCGGCTGGGCCAGTTGGCATTTCCTCATGAATATCACGAAAGATATCGTTACAGAAAAATAAAGTTCCTCATACAGTGAAAAATATTTGCTCATAATCATCGCGCAGCCCTTGCTGTAGTTTGTTTATTAGATTTAATGCATGATTCACTCCACTACAAAATTATTCTAATTAATCAAAATTAATGACTTATTTCCAAACACAGCTATTTAAGCCGTCTGGTAAAAGTGCACACATACTAAAATATAGCAGTAAAAAACAAAATCATAATGTCAGATTTCCCTAATATCATGCATCCCTACTAATAATGCTGAGCCACAGGGCACATCACATGTGATGTGTTTACCACGGTAATCCTGAGACTTTAGAGAGATCCAGACACCTGACGGGTCACAATGACTTACTAACCCTCGTTTAGTAATTCACGATTAAGCCTTTCACAAGCTTTGTAAACCCTTGGTTAAGTAACATTTCACAATGGGGATAGTCAGACCAAACATTGGTCACGCTAAAATAATTTTGCCTACCATATTTCTTCATTAAGTGAAACAGTTGAAAAAGTTTGAAAATTGCACTCGGATATTTACATTCTGCCTAATTATGTCCTGAAATCTTTAGAAACAAAAAAAACTACTACAGTATGAAAACGTTTTTGCAGTCTTTCCTTTATTAAAGTTACCACAAGAAATATTTCTTGAATCAATGTATGAATCAATTTTAGTATTATTAATATCCCATTAAAGTAACGATTTAAATTAGCTTATTTTATGTTTTTAACTCTTAGTTATATTTTTATTTATGTTTTTAGCAATTGTATGTGGTTTTAGAAACCTAATATGAATCATTAATTAAAAAAAGATCAAGAGCAAAACATTTTTAAAGTGGAACATAGAGGCTTAGTGGTGTGCAATATTGACAAAAATAATACAACAGTGAATTGTTTTATTTATACGATTTATTTACAATACAGTTTGTAAAGTCCTATTTTCTGTCTTTTGGTCGATATATAATATGAGAGACTTGCTTTGTTTACCAAATACGATCTCATCGGATTAGCATTGTAAACATTAAATAAAAAGTTAAAAATGTATTAATTTTCAAAACACATTTACATCATATAAAAAATTTATTCATATTTCATATATTAGGTTTGATATCGTTATGATACTCCTAAAATAATTCCACATAAATCCGCAGATATTTACAAAATTCTCTACAGAAATAGCAAAAATTTACAGCAGATTCTGTCTGGCCCTACTTATAGCCTAATGTAAACTAGGGTTGTCGCATTACCATTATTTAATCTTACAATACTATACCAGCTGAAGTATCATACTGTAATTTATAACTGAAATTATAAAGAAAATTGTCAGAAATACTGTGTTTTGTTCTAATAAGCCTACTTGAACGTAATTCTTAATTCCCATAAGGCCAAAAAGCATTACTTTAAATGTATTAATTCATTTTGTTTATGCTGAAGATAACTGACCAACAAAAATACATTAAAATAAAGATACAAATTATATTCAATTTGTCACAAAAGAGGATTTTTTCCAACAAAATCTGCTATATGAAGCGTTTAAAAAATAGTTTCAATGTTTCCTGTTGCTATTTTGGGTTTTTCATCTGATTCTTTTTCCAGTCTTATCAGGTAATAATTAAAATTTTCACTTTGTGAGTCTTTCTTTTAAAGAGATTGTCGCAGTCGCTGTTAAATCATATTAACAGGAACAGAAATTCAGATGTGTGAATCAAATTAAATTGAAGCATTAGAAAATGTGTAGTAGGCTGCCATTAAAGGCCAAGTGGTGCTCGCTGCAGAGCCATTTGAGGAGAGGTGAGCTCCAGAGAGGGGGAGCTTAAGCTTGAGCTCCACCTTTTTTGCACTTCTTCTACGAGTGATGTCACTGGGGGTAGGGTTAGAGGTGGGGTTGGTGTACGCATTAAAACAGCTTACAGGAGGAGGAGCGACAGCTCATGCTCCCCCTCTCTGGAGCTCACCTCTCCTCAAATGGCTCTGCAGCGAGCACCCTCTCATAAAAGGCGCAAATTCTACACAGTTTTGCAACCTTGAAGTGCTCCACAGACTATTCAAATAAAATTGTCTATTGTTGCACAAACGTGCAAGCATTTTAGTAACTTTCTATAGTAGATAAACCATTAATGACGATACTACTGTTTACAAACTACAGTGACACCACCAGTACTTTAAAGCCATAACATCATGATTCTACTAAAGTACCGGTAAACCGTGCAACCCTGATGTAAACAAAATCTCAAAAGTGGTGCAATATATATGTTTCTTTATTTAACCAGATAAAAACCCACTGAGATCAAGATCTCTTTTACAAGGGTGACCTGGCCAAGAGGTCTGAAACACACGATTTATAAAAAAAAAAACCAAATAAATAATAATAATAATAATAATAATAATAATAATATTAATATTGAATAGAAAATTTATATAATATAAAAATACAGTTCAGCTTTTCAGCTTTACCACAGTTCAATATATTAAAAACACATATTGCAAAATAAATATAATTTAATTTGCAATAGTTTACATAATCAGGACTACATTTGCAGAATATCTTTTGATTTAACATGAGGTTTATGCAGTTCAACAGGACTTAATGGTTTTAAATGAGAAATTTTTAAAAGCTTTTTATAAAAAGGAGCTGATCTGTTCACAATTGGGCTCGAATGTGGGACGATTTCCATAAGCCCTCCTGTCTGCCTCGCTCTTTCAGTCTCTGTGTTCTGAGGATCAGATGACAGAGCCACTGAAAGCCTTTTGTGATTTGCAAGGAGTTGAAATAACAACCAACCGACCAACCAAAAATATCACCGACAGCAGTCTTCATGGTATAAACATAATCTTATGTGGAACTATGTAAAAACAGCATAGAAGACTGCTGATGCACGCGTGCTAAAATGACCCATTTTTGTCCACCCTTGAGCATTCATTTACCAATATATGAATTGAAAATTAATATTTAAAATTGAAAATATTATGTGGAAAAATGGTTTTCAATTCATTTTTAGATATATTCATTTATATACATTTTATACATTGTATTATACATTTTATACTCATAATAGTAGTGCAATATTAGATATATTATTTATTAAAATCTGTTTGCTATTCGTCTATATTATTTTTTTGTATAATCCATATTTATTTAGAGTAAATAAACACCATTTTATTTAGTTAAATTGCTTTATTTAATATTTGATTCTTATCATTGTCATTGCTCTGCATGCATACATTTTTTAAACTGTTTAAAAGTTAAATCAAACCCCAAACATAACCATCGTGGACTTAAAAGGCATTTACAGTATACATGTAATAAAAAAAATCATCAAACGCTTAAATTAATGTGTGGAAAATATCTTGTTTCTATTATTTTACTACATTAAAGCTATGCACTTACTCTTAGATGTCCATTTTTTATATTATTACTTCTGCAGCTTCAATTTTTATTAATTTATTTATTTATTCATTCATTTAAATAGATCCTTTATTTGATTTACTTTTACAGTTGAGTAAGTTATTTAACTCTTTATCTACACCATTTCCTCCAGATTTCAGCTCTCTTATGTACAAAACATCAAGATATTTATCATATTGCAAAGTCAAACAGCCTTATAGTCGACCATGCAGCTATAATAAAACACTGCTAAACACCAACCTAGACATTTCACCACTAAACATATCCTAATCATCTTAGTAGAACCACATTACGTATATTACTACACCTGTCACCACTAGCAGACCATAAACAGCTTATTTATGAAACCCACTAGATTTATTTACAACCACAGAGCCATGAATAACGCAAAAATAACCACTTATCAACACCTGCAGATCCTAAATGCAGTTTCTGGAGCACAACATGTTTGTTTACATTGCTTATTTCTCAAGATGACGCGTTAATTGACCAATATTTGCAAAGAGGGCGAGATGAGCTCCTGACATATTTCTGAATATCAAAGTGCTTTAGCCTTTAGCCTGTTAGCACAGCAACTGTTCTGTCATTTAAAAGCAGTTCGTCTTACCTGGGCGTCGGACAGCACCTGTTGTGTCTCTCAGGGTCAAAGATCCACAGAAAACCTCAAACTTTAGGGGATTCTGACGGAAATATAATCAAACATTCCCATAGTTGTGGACTGCGACCCTCACAAACAAACAGATGACGGTGTTGGAAGTGATAAACTCCAGTCAGCGTCCACTTACATAAACAGCAGCAGAAGAGGAGCCCAGTCAGCGTAAACTAACACTGAAAACACGGCGGATTTAAAACATATGTCTCAAAGAAGGTGTCTGTTCTGTGGGAGAGGCGGGGAAGCACATTTTATTCCACTTTCTTTGGCGCTGTTGTGACTTTGAGCTGCTTTACTCGCACGTTTCAGGCGCTGCTGTCAGTGAAGGGCGCGTCCGATGCATTGTGGGTGTTGCAGTCCGGGGCGGGAGCGCGCTTGGCGTTGATTGGCTCGTTCGAGGGGCGTCAAAGAAGGACGGGGTTTGAAGTTTTAAAGACAAGAATTATTAAAGATAAGCGTGGATTTAACATTGTGTTTGGTTGTCATCATGGCTGGGCAGAGATTAATCACAAAAAGTTTGTTTTGACATAATATATGTGTATGGATTATATATATATATATATATATATATATATATATATATATATATATATATATATATATATATATATATATATATATATATATATATACAGTGTTGGGCAAGCTACTTGACAAATGTAGTGAGCTAAGCTATTAGCTACTCTACTTAAATTGTAGCTAAAATAACTACACTAAAGCTACCCCCTGGGAAATTTAGCAAGCTACGCTAAAAGCTACATGGGAAACGTAGCGTAGCTACATCTAAGCTATTTTTACAATTTTTATTTTTAAATCGAAGCAACTTAAATCCAAGTCAATCATATCTTAGTTGATCAATAAAACTGTCAATGAAACATACGAGGCATAATAGTTTAGTTCAATTATTTACTGTAAATAATTTGCTGTACTAAACAGAAACACATTAGAGTATATGGCAGCTAAAACAAAAAATTAAATAAAACCAGGTGTAACACATTTAAAATACTATAGTCATTTATAGTAAAGTAAAATATTTTTGATTTTTATATATATATATATATTGTAATAAGTATTATAGTGTTGTATATACTAAAGTAGTTTTATTTTTTGAGCACATCATCAGAAATGACGTTTTTGCATCTTAACATGTACTTCTCGTGGTATAGTCACAAGGATTCCTGCTTCAAAAATAACTACTCTCCCTCATCTTTCCATCAAGAAAGTTTCACCAGAGGTGGCAGTAACGCACCAAAAAGTTTGTTGTCGAACACCGTAAAACAGGAAAAAGAAGAAATCATCATGCTCGCTATCATATGGGCTCCGTCCGAAACCGCCTGTAGGTACTGCATTTGAATTTAAACGTACTACTCGGCCGTTAGAAAAGTACGTTCTATACAGTATGAATGTGAAAAGTATGAATGGAATTCGGACGTACTACATTCGCCATTTTGACAGTCACGTGACGTACCTGCGTAATTTGTGTCGCTTTACTCCCATTCATGAATTCGCTCCGGGGGCATCATGGGATAGCGCAGCGTGCATGGGATGCGCACTCCAGAATCTCGCCGGAAGTAGTAAGTCTTCTGGGTACTTCTCGCACACTGTTTTTCGAATTCTATGAATTCGGACATACTACTCGGTTCACATACTGATTTTAGCGTACTATATAGTATGGAAGTATGCGGTTTCGGACGCAGTCATGGATTTACTTCCATCGGCTAGACACCGGCCTTACAGCTCAGTGAATGTTGGTGTCGTCACTTATTGATTCACGATCGGTAACTGTAGCTTGTTTGGATGCTACTGCGCTACTTGACTAATGAAATAGCTTTGCTACTGAAAAGCTATTTGATTTAGAAAGTAGCGATGCTACAGCCACGCTACTGAGAAATGTAGATAAGCTAGTAGCGTCACTACTTGTAGCGACACTACTGCCCAACACTATATATATATATATATATATATATATATATATATATATATATATATATATATATATATATGTACACTATATATAGATACACTAACACTAAAACTTTATATATAAATTTTATAATTTTACAATTTTACTATTTAGTACAACTACAGTGCACTTGCAGTGCTACATTTTATGATGAGTTATATGTTAACCTTTACAGTTATCATGACAGAATATTTTAGGCCAAAATACTTAATTACTAATAATGAACTCGACCAAAATAACATTGTGTAAACTTAGTTTCAGAAAAAGAAAATTTTACTTTAATATTTATAAATGTAAAAACTATAAGCAATAGATAGGCTAAATTAACTGAGGCAACATGTTCTCCCCGTGTTGGTGTGGGTTTCCTTCGGGTGCTCTGGTTTCCTACAGTTCAAACACATGAGCTATAGGGGAATTGATTAACTAAATTGGCTGTAGTGCATGAGTGTGTGTGTAAATGGAAGTGTATGGGTATTTCCTAGTACTGGGTTGCAGCTGGAAGAGCATCCTCGGTGTGATACTATACTAAAAATATGCTGGATAAGTAGGCGGTTCATTCCGCTGTGGTTACCCCTAATAAATAAAGAGACTAGCCCGTATGAAAATGAATGAATAATTGGGGCAACCGGAGCAGGGAAAACTTCCCAAAAGACATTATCATTTGAACGGCATCTACGCTTATGTTAGTCTGCTTTTCAATATCCCAAGGTCTCTATAATCCTGGACCAGGTCGTATCCTGAGCAGCTGCTGTGGCAGTCATGGAGAGCATGAGACTGATCCCTGTAAGAGCCCAGTGACAGACGAGTCTCCGCTTTGCTTCAGTGGGCCTGCCTGAACACCCTCCGGTGACCTGCAGCTTTTCCACGATGGACGTCCTGCGTTCTCCAGCGCCTAGACTGCAGCTTTGCACAAGATGTTTGGCCAGAGGGGAAATGGTCGTGCTCAACTGAGCCTGGTTTCTCTCCACGTCTTTTTCTTCATGTTGGTCAATTGGTGAAGTTTGTTCCTCAACTGGGGCGACGCAGTGGCGCAGTAGGTAGTGCTGTCTCCTTACAGCAAGAAGGTTGCTTGTTCGAGCCTCGGCTAGGTCAGTTGTATGGAATAAGATCACTGTCAGAAATATTTCGTGGGTAAATAAAATTCACGCATGCGTAATTCTAAAATCGTAAAGGAAAACGGAACGTAGTCGTAATTTTACGAGGGTACAATTCCAAAATCTGCGATTAGAACAGACACAGATACGACATGTTCTTTGTCAGTTTGAATAAATTTACGATGGGTGTACTTTACAAATACGAAATACAGTTTCATCACGGACATGAAGTCCTGATTACGAGTACGAATCAAACTGCTTGTTTATTAATGCCTGTGACAGCGGTGACATAATTTTGAGTGTCGCTGTCGCTGTGTCGCAAGTGTCACTTGTAATCAGGACTTCGTGTCCGTGGTGAAACTGTATTTCGTGTTTGCAAAGTACACCCATCATAAATTTATCAGTCATATTCAAGCAGACAAAGAACATGTCGTATCTGTGTCTGTTCTAATCGCAGATTTTGGAATTGTACCCTCGTAAAATTACGACTACGTTCCGTTTTCCTTTACGATTTTATAATTACGGATGCGTGAATTTTATTTACGCACTAAATATTTCTGACAGTGATTTTATTCCATACAGTTGGCGTTTCTGTGTGGAGTTTGCATGTTCTCCCTGTGTTGGTGTGGGTTTCCTCCGGGTGCTCCGGTTTCCCCCACAGTCCAAACACATGCTGTACAGGTGAATTGGGTAGGCTAAATTATCCATAGTGTATGAGTGTGTGTGTGTGAGTGTGTGTGGATGTTTCATAGAGATGGGTTGCGGCTAAAAGGGCATCCGCTGCTTACAAACGTGCTGGATAAGTTGGCAGTTCATTCCGCTGTGGCGACCCCAGATTAATAAAGGGACTAAGCCGAAAAGAAAATGAAAGAATGAATGTATGTTCCTCCACTGTCGCCAATGGCTTGCTTGGTTTGGGTCTTGTGGAGCTGTGCATCGATGGATTTGCTCTTCAGTGTTTGGACTCTCAGCAGTGATTATTAAACCCCACTAAACTGAACTAAACTAAACTCACACTGTTTACATTTACTATAATCTTCTATGTTAAGCTGCTGTGACACAATCTACATTGTAAAAGCGCTAGAGAAATAAAGATGAACTGAACTGAATAAATCTACCTTCATTTTTTTTTTTTTTTGTAAATGAATATTATGCGGGGCGACGCAGTGGGTAGCACGTTCGCCGCACAGCAAGAAGGCTGCTGGGTCGCTGGTTCGATCCTCGGCTCAGTTGGTGTTTCTATGTGGAGTTTGCATGTTCTCCCTGCCTTCGCGTGGGTTTCCTCCGGGTGCTCCGGTTTCCCCCACAGTCCAAAGTCATGCAGTACAGGTGAATTGGGTAGGCTAAATTGTCCATTGTGTGTGTGTGTGTATATGTTTCCCAGAGATGGGTTGCAGCTGGAAGGGCATCCGCTGCGTAAAAACTTGCTGGATAGTAGTAGTAGTAGTCATTGTAGTAGTATCGATCGTAATTGTGATTATTGAAGTAGTAGTTCCTGTAGTAGTTGATGTCGTTGGTATAGTGGTAGCAGAAGTAGTAAAAGTGTCGTTGTAGCAGTAGTAATCGTTGTTGGTGTAGTAGTACCAGTAGTAGATGTCGTTGATGTAGATGTTGTAGTAGCAGTGATTGCGGTAGTAGTAGTAGTAGTAGTAGACGTTGTATTAGTTGTAGCAGACGCTGTAGTATCAGTAGTGGTAGTCATTGTTGTGGTAGTATCAGCAGTAGTAGACATTATAGTAGTAATAGTTGTGGTTGTGATTGTAGTAGCAGCAATAGTAGTTAATAATTATATAGTAATATAAGTAACTTTCTGCAGTAGTAGTAGTTAGGGTAGTACTTGTGATTTATTATCATTGTCATTTATTATTACTGTTGTCCTTTCTTTCTTTTTACTGTCATTATTACTATCATACATTACTAAGCATAGTTGTTACTCCCTAACTCTGACTGGTTTCTTTTGTATCTGTTTTACTTATATCTGCGAGACTAGATTCATTTATTGGCTAATATTGTTCCAAATGTATGTAATCTGACCTTCCACCAAGTTACCTTTACATGGACACACACACACCTAACAGTACCCGACTATATTGTTTTTTTTTTTTTTTTTTTTTTTTATTGTTGTTTTGTTATGGTTTTTTGTTGATGTTTTTTGTATTTGTATGATCCCAATTTATGTACCTTTTTGCATATTCTAATAAAAAATAAATAAATAAATAAAAAAAACTTGCTGGATAAGTTGGCGGTTCATTCCGCTGTGGTGACCCCAGATTAATAAAGGGACTAAGCCGACAAGAAAATCAATGAATGAATGAATGAATATTATGCTGCAAACTCATAAACACTTCAATACACTTTAATCAACAAACACACTCAGTTCTTGTACACGGCGGATTTAATCAGAGCATCAACTAGTTTTGCAAGACAAACAATAAAAAAACACATAATTGTCTCACCTCGTCTTGTGCGCATGAAAAGGCGTTTGGCTTCATAAAAAGATTATTCAGGAATGTCAAAAATAAGCATCATTTGCAGAGCAGCGGACGCACCTTTAACAAGCAGGCCGATGTTAAACATTACATTAAATCTATCAGAGGCCACAGTGACGGTGATCCAGCAGTGCACTTCTCAACTAAGTGCACTTGATTCTTGCAGCTAACATCAGCTCGATGAATCCAGAACAAGCAGAGTTAAAAAAAATAACAAATAAAGCATTGTATAAACTATAAATATTAGCAATAAAATGTGTAGACCAAAACAAAAACTTGAACAGTAAGATATTTAATGTTTTTTATTAATATTTTCTACTTACCAAACCTGCATTTATTTGTTACAACAAAACCCGTAATATTTTAAAGTATTTTTATCATTGAAAATTATTCTATATGATTTATATAGTTTGCAATATATTGTATATCCGACTATTATGTAACATAAGGTAATGTATTGTGTATTTATATTGTGCATTTAGAGTGTATGGCCATACACCAAAAGTGCTTCACAGTCATGGATGAATGGACACCACCACCAGTGTGCAGCCCCACTTGGATGATGCGACGGCAGCCACAGAACAACAGCGCCAGTGCGCTCACCACACACCAGCTATTGGTGGAGTGGAGAGACAGTGATCGTGCCAATTCAGAGGATGGGGATGATTGGGAGGCCATGGTGGGCCAAGGGCCAATAGTGGGAATTTGGCCAGGACATCAGGGTTATACACCTACTCTTTACCATAAGTGCCATGAGATTTTAATTCCTAGAGTCAGGACCTCAGTTCAACATCTCATCTGAAAGACGGCGCTTACTGACAGTATAGAGTCCCCTTCACTACACTGGGGCATTAGGACTCAAGACTGCAGGTTGAGCGCCCCCTGCTGGCCTCACTAACACCACTTCCAACAGCAACCTAGTTTTCCCATGTGGTCTCCCATCCAGGTACTGACCAGGCTCAGCCCTGCTTAGCTTTAGTGAGTAACCGGTTTTATAAGTGAAACGTTTTACTGAAACAAAAAGCTTTTTTTAGCATCATTACTCCAGAAATGTCTTCAGACAACACTCTAATATGCTCGTTTGCTGTTCAAGAAACATTTAATGTTATTAATATATTCATTATTAGTATTAATATTTATTAACGGTTGAATCGCTGATGACTAGAAATAATTTTTTACTAAAACAAACGACTTTTGCAATATTTTACACTGCAAAATTCAAAATAAGCCACTTATATATATATATATATATATATATCAATTATTAATTATAATTATCCAAATTATATTATACAATGCCACAAAAGCTTTACATTTCAGATAAACATTGTTTTCTGAACTTTCTGTTTAGAAAATAAATCTGGAAGTCGTTTTCAACATAATAATAATATTATATTAGATTGATTTATAAATGATCATGTGACTTGTGGAGGATGAAACCTGCAAAAACAATCAATAAATAAATAAATATGCAAACAACATTGTCTAATTCATGCATGAAAAATATAAATAAATAATTAATAGTGCAGGCAGATAAATAATTTAATAAATGACACGAATGTTGGGGGAACATCCATGTTCACTTTTCCTGTCTGTCGATCATCAGAATCCAGCCAAAAAAAATAAATAAACAAATAACCATGTAATTTATTTTATTATCTCTCTGCCCGCACTAATAATTATTTATGCAGGAATTTGTGGATATATATATATATATATATATATATATATATATATATATATATATATATATATACACACACACACACACACACACACACACACACACACACACACACACACACACACACACACACACACACACACACACGCATACATACATATATACACACACACACACACACACATACATATATATATATATATATATATATATATATATATATATATATATATATATATATATATATATATATATATGTGTGTGTGTTTGTGTGTTTGTTTATTTACATATTTATTATTGCTTTATTTAAGCAGGAATTTATGGATTTATTTATTTACTCATGTAATTATTGTTTTTACAGGTTTCACCCTTCGTAGTGACTGGAGTAATGCCAAAAACCCAGCTTTAAAATCACAAGAATAAATAAAACATATTTACATCAAAATCAGCTATTTTAAATAATAACAAAAAAATACCTATTTTAAATTTTTGCTGCATATTTTGAGTCAAATAAACACAGGCTTGGTGAACAGAAGAGATTTCTATTAATAAAAACAGCATTAAAATCTTACTGTTGTCAAATGTTTGACCGATGCTGTATGTAGTGAATCTACACTGTAACTTGTAAAGCATATTTGCATCAATGCTTCTGGAAGGATGTCGCATTTCTAGGGTGAACATATGTGCCATTTTTACAGGACTCTTCCTGGACAGGATTTATATATTTGAGTTTGTTTTCCGGTTTTCAAGATAATGAGTTTACATTTAAAAAGTAGTTTGACCAATAACATGCAGGCATTGTACAAAAATGACCAATCGTGACGCGCAGAGAGCGGGATATATTAGTAAAGGCCATCGCGATGCAAACACATGCACATATTAGATGTTTGTTAATTCAGTTGCAAAAATTGAACTTTGTATGACATCAAAGTAAGAGAGCCAAGTGACTGAATGAGTCAAGAATCAGTGTAAGTTATTCATGCTGATGGGTTAATAGAATTGAGAGTATTTTGAACAATTAAGCGAATGTGACTAAAAACTCTTCTGAATGAATCAAGAATCATTCGTGATTCACATTGATGAATTAATCAGATTGAGTGTGATTTGAACAAACAAATGTTACTCAAAATTCTTTTGAATGATTCATTTTGACAGATTAGGTGAGTGAAGAATCACTCGAAATGACTCATGCCAATCAATTAATCAGACTGAGATTGATTTGAACGAATGTTAATAAAAATTTCTCTGAATTATTAATTTTCACAGATTCTGATAGTCAAAAATCATTCTCAGACTCACACTGATGAGTTAATCAGATTAACACTGATTTAAACAAACAAATGTTACTAAAAACTTCTGAATAATTCATTTAGACAGATTCAGTGAGTCAAGAATCATTCTAGGTAATTCACATTTATGAATTAATCAGATTGAAACAGATTTCAACAAATGTTACTTAAAACTCTTCTGAATGATTCATTTTGATAGATTCAGTGAGTCAAGAATCATTCTGAGTGATTTGCATTGATGATTTAATTAGATTGAGAGTGATTTGAACAAACAAATATTACTAAAAACTCTTTTGAATGATTCATTTAGACAGATTCCGTAAGTCAATCCCTCTAGGAGATTCACATTTATAAATTAATCAGACTGAAACAGATTGAACAAACAAATGTTACTAAGACTCTTCTAAATGATTGATTTTCAGATTCAGTGAGTCAAGATTCACTCTAAGTGATTCAAACTTGTGAATTAATTAGATTAAGAATGATTTGAACAAACAAATGTTACTAAAACCCTTCTGGATGATTCATTTTGATGGTTTCGCTGAGTCAAGAATCATTTTAGGCGATTCACATTGATTAACTAATTAGATTAAAACTGATTTGAACAAAAAAAAATATTACTAAAAACTGTTTTGAATGATTCATTTGGACAGATTAGGTGAGGGAAGGATCACTCGAAATGACTCATGTCGATGAATTAATCAGAGATGAGAGTTTTTTGAACAAATGTTAATAAAAACTTTTCTGAATTATTAATTTTCACAGATTCTGAGTCAAAAATCATTTTCAGAGACTCACACTGATGAGTTAATCAGATTAAGACTGATTTAAACAAAGGAATGTTATTAAAAACTCTTCTGAATGATTCATTTTAACAGATTCAGTGAGTCAAGAATCATTCTGAGTGATTTGCATGATGAGTTAATCAGATTAAGACTGATTTGAACAAACAAATGTTACTAAAAACTCTTCTGAATGATTCATTTAGACAGATTCCGTGAGTCAATCACTCTAGGAGATTCACATTTATAAATTAATCAGATTGAAATTGATTTGAACAAACACATTACTAAAAACTGTAATGAATATTTTATTTTGACTGATTCAGTGCGTCAAGAATAACAGTGATTCACATTTATGAATTAATCAGATGGAGACTGATTTGAACAATTAGACGATTGTTACTAAAACTATTCTGAATGATTCTTTTTCAGATTCAGTGAGTCAAGAATCACTCAGTTTAAGAAAGATTTGAATCTTTTTTAACATTCATAAATATTTTTTTTTCTTACATAAACTATTACATGCATGAACATTCTAGTAATGTTCTCTGTGTTTTTCCACTGATATAAATTAAGCATTGCCGTTTTACCTTCAAAATAGCTCTTTAACCTAAAAAAAAATCTCCTGCAATGAGCCACAAGTCTTCATTTCAGCAGTACTAACATATAAAAAACTATATTAATAGCTATTTAACGAAGGTTTTTTAGAAGTGGATATATTTCTGCCAAATTTGTATAACATATTCATCATCATTGTCATTAACAGAATGTTCATTCTGCATGTCTGTTCTTAAGTAATGGAATGTTTATAGAACCTTTTTCTGCAACATTTGAGTTCGTCTGTTCTTTCAAACAGTTTTAGAATCTTCAGAAAACATCACGAGAGCGAGTTAAAGATACAGATAGTACATGGATTCACATATATATATATATATATATATATATATATATATATATACACACACATATGTCGCACAGTGATCAGTCGGCACACAGCAGCTGGATATGTTAAACAATATAGAGATCCTGGCCTGTGATAGAAGGACTCTTAGGGTTATTTTTCTATAAGTTTGTTAAAGATGTGTTTGGATTTAAAACTTTCTCATCTTTGATGTATTTGAAATGATGTCTGGCAATGTTTTATTGAACTGTTTTTGGCATGTTGGTCGTAAGGCGTCTAGAAATGAGAAATTTACATATATAAATTACATATATATATTATTATTATCATCATCATTATTATTAAAATGACACATATGGTCACCCTGCGATTCTCACACAGAGTCTGACCTGCAAGCTGTGGTGTGTGTGTGTGTGTGTGTGTGTGTGTGTGTGTATGTTTTTATATGTGCATTTTGTGTGTGCTTATTTGTATATGTGTGTGTGTGTGTTTGCATTTGGTAGGGCAGTTACACCTGTACTTTTCACCATCAGAGAGTTTGTGTGTGTGTGTGTGTGTGTGTGTGTGTCTATGTCTGTGTGTGTTTGTATGTGTGTGCGTTTGGAAGGGCAGTTACACCTGTACTTTCCACCATCAGAGAGTTTGTGTGTGTGTGTGTGTGTGTGTGTGTGTCTATATGTGTGTTTGCATTTGGAAGGGCATTTACACCTGTACTTTTCACCATCAGAGAGTTTGTTTGTGTGTGTGTGTGTGTCTATGTCTGTGTGTGTTTGTATGTGTGTGCGTTTGGAAGGGCAGTTACACCTGTACTTTTCACCATCAGAGAGTTTGTGTGTGTGTGTCTATGTCTGTGTGTGTCTGTGTGTGTTTGTATGTGTGTGCGTTTGGAAGGGCAGTTACACCTGTACTTTCCACCATCAGAGAGTTTGTGTGTGTTTGTGTGTGTGTGTGTCTATATGTGTGTTTGCATTTGGAAGGGCATTTACACCTGTACTTTCCACCATCAGAGAGTTTGTGTGTGTGTGTACGTCTATGTCAGGGATGGCCAACCCTGTTCCTGGAGAGCCACCTTCCTGCAGATTTCAGTTGCAACCCATATCAAACACACCTGCCTGTAATTATCACGTGGAGTTCAGGTCCTAATTAATTGGTTCAGGTGTGTTTGATATGGGTTGCAACTGAAATCTGCAGGAAGGTGGCTCTCCAGGAGCAGGGTTGGCCACCCCTGGTCTAAGTGTTTCAGTGACTCAGGCTTCCTTTGGTGCCAGTCCACAGCTCTCGCAGCTCCACCTGGCAGCCGAGGTCTCGGAGCGCAGCCCGACCCACATCTCCACAGTCCCGGTGGGCTGCCAGCGCCTGAGAGATCAGCGCCTCCGCTCCCATCTCCAGAATGGGCTGGGTAAAGTCCCGCGAACGCGCCACCAGATTCCTCAGCAGCATGCAGGACTGTTTCTGGAACAGCAGAAGATGCAGATACAACAATAAACACTGATTCTGTTCTATTATATTCTATGTGGCAAATTAGATATTAACATATGCATACATATAGTTAAAGTCAAATATTTTTCCTTTTGCCAATATTTTCCAGATGATGTTGAACAGATTCAGGGATTTTTCACAGTATTTCCTTTAATATTTTTCTTCTGAAGAAAGTCTCATTTGTTTTATTTCAGCTAGAATAAAAGCAGTTTTTAATTGTTTTAAAGCCATTTTAGGGTTAATATTATTAGCCCCCTTAAGGAATATTTGTTTTGGATTGTATTACAGTGGTTTGTTCTGGAAACAATGACTTGCCTAATTACACTATCTTTACCCTAATTAACCTAGTTAAGCCTTAAGCTGAATACAAAGAGTATATGCTGTTGTCATGGCAAAGATAAAAGAAATCAGTCATTAAAAATTTGTTATTAAACTTTTTTGTTTAGAAATGTGTAGAGAAAGTCTTCTCTCTGTTTAACAGAAATTGGGGAATAAATTATACAGGAGGGGGCTAAAAATTCAGCAGGGCTATCACTGCAAAAAATACTTTTCTTACTTAGATTTTTTGTCTTGTTTCTAGTCCAAATATCTACAAAATCTTAATTCAAGAAGCATTTTCTAGACCAATGGTTCTCAAAGTGGGGGTCGGGATTTATGACCACCTCAGAGGATATTGGGGGTCGCCAGTCACTGGCATTGTCATTTTGGGGGTCGCAGCCTGAAAAGTTTGGGAACCCCTGTTCTAGACAAGCAAAACATATTATCTTGTTTTAAGAAATAATCTGCCAAAATAAAGTGAGTTTTTTCTTAAATCAAGCTAAATAATCTGCCAATGGGGTAAGCTAAATAATCTTATCAAAAATCAAAAAACAAGATTATAATCTAAAAACATATTTTGCTGATTATTTAGTTTGATTTAAGAAAAAAATCACTTCATTTTGGCAGATTATTTCTTAAAACAAGACAATCTGTTTTGCTTGTCTAGAAAATGCTTCTTGATTTAACCCTCTATGACATGCATTATGATAAACCTGTAAAAAAAAATTGGACTGCTTTTCTTTTCTTAAAATGGCTTAACTTGAAGTGCTGTAAAAAAAAACATTGGAAAAAATTCATTCTTAAAGGTACTTTATGAAATAAAGGACGAAAACAACGTCCAACAGTGGATCTACCTGAGAAATTTCAAATTTAAAACTTTCCTTATAATTAATTTTTTTTTTGTTTGAAATGATTTAATTGGTGTTGCAGTATTATAAGCTTTAACACAGAACTTATAAATGACCCCTTATACATGTTTTACCACAACTCATATTCCAACAGCTTTCATTTATTGCATTTTTTTGCTGAATATTAATGAAAACAATAATAATATTGTATTATCATGTATACAACATACAGTAAATATAAACATTTTCTCTAGTAAATATTATAACAAATAAATAACAACTCTAGTATACCCAGATGCATCAGAATAAAGTAGCTACTAGCTAACAAGGTTCATACATATTATACTATATACTATACTACGCCTGTCTTATCTGCATCTGAGCTAACTTACCAGAACTGTTGCTATCAAATGTCCAGTCTGCATCCTTATGGTCACTAAAACCCATCTCACCCTTACTTTCATCTGCAGGAAGAGCCAGTTCTGTCCTTTTCTTCTTTAAATCACCATAGAACATGGTGGTGCTCGCTAATACACTGTTCCCTGTATTCATATCTATTCAAAAGTAGTTTTGCCATTAAAACTAGATTTTATCCAGAATGCAAATGTCATTACCATACAACTAATCAACATTATACTACTAGCATTCATGCTGTTATTGCTACTACTTAAAAGTTCACAGCTGACCTTGCTAGCTAGCTAACCCATTGCAATATTGCATGTTCTACTATTGCACAGTGTTGCCATTTGGTAACAAACATTTAATCGATTTACAAAAAACTAATCTGATTTAAAAAAAATTAGTTGGGAAAATATCATCATGACTTACTGAAGGTGATGTTTCAGATTTTTTTTTGGTGGATCTGACATAGTTTGATCCTTTGCTTTTATTGATGTTTACATTTGCTACTACTCACAATAAACGGCAGTCTGTCAGAAATCACGCTACAGAAAAACACTGGATGTCATGTGACTTAACCAAAGCACATCATTGGTTACTCTAAGGTCTTCTCTTTCCAACAAAAAAATAATATGTTGGTCTCAAAGAAACAGTGGCAGGGAAATGAACATGAGTATCATGTTACCATATGGTTACGCCGTGCAGTAGAGGGTTGGGAATTTGTAGATATTTGGACTTGAAACAAGACAAAAATCTAAGTAAGGAAAGCATTTTTTGCAGTGTAATAATTCTGACTTCAACTGTATACACAGACATGTATATTTTGTGATTTGAGACCGTGTTTGTGCACTGTGTTTCAGCTGTACCTGCATGTTTGCCTCAGCTGGATGAGTCTTCATGGCCTGCAGAGCTGCCAGAGCTCCTCCACTCTCCATGATCACCTTACAGTTGTTGGGTTTGCGGAGAGCGAGAACACACAGCGCTGCACAGCCCTGCTCACACACCTGAAACACAGAAAACACACACACACACACACACACACACACACACACACAGCGCTATAATTTTCAGTTTGTCTGTTTCTAATTTGCGAGTGAGCTTCTTAACTCTACAGCAGGGCTATTCAATTAGTTTGTCATGGGGGCCGGTTCATGAAAAGCATCCCAAAAGAAGGGCCGGAGAGATGTGACTTGCTATATGAGTGATGACACAACTGCACATAAGAGCCTATATGCTGTATTTGTGCTCACAAAAACACCAACATCGGATTTTTCTACATTAAAATGCATTTTAAAACAACTGAATTGTCCAATTTACTTTTTTTTTTGGTTTACAAACATTCAAAATATTGTATTTCACACAACAAAAGCAGTGCATTGCTGAAGTAGGCTTCTTCTACATTCAGACACATTCATATGTGATGTTTTGAACAGCAGAACAATTAGTGATGCAACGTTATAGATTTTGGTTGTACGATATAGTCTGAAGAATAATCATGCTTTCACGGTGATCACGTCTAATGTCATTTACAACAACAAGCTTTATATTAGGGAACTAGCTATTTGGATTAACTGTTGTTATCATCTGGGTTTAAGCGTATATAATCATTTTAATACTAATTCGTCTAACTTATATTTTGTTTACATTGCACTGAAAGCCACGCACAACTCTCACCGTGAGATGTTTTCTACTGTGTGCACTCGAACAGAGGCAAGCGTGTTGCTCCGCTTGTGCGCACATATTGTCATATATTCTTACATTAGAAATAACAAACTTGCAAGCGGAAAAGACGTGATACAGGAACGGCCGATGCTCTAGTTAATCCGGTGTACATACTTGGAACTTTAAACTAGCGCACAGTTGGCAACTTGTCATAACTTTTCCATACAACAGAAATGCAGCTTAGAGAAGCCTTTACGATTAATTAACTGTGACGAATTAAAGCGCAGGTAATAGTGAAATCAGCTAATCGTTGCATGCCTATTAATGATTACAGTGCACTGTACAATAGGCATTTTCTACAAAACATATCCAAATGTTTTTGGCTGTCCGCACCACTCGCTTATGGTGACTCGCGCTCTGCGCAGTCTCTGCAGCTCATACTGAATTGAACAGTCGCACGTCACTTCATAGCTATAGCGGCCGTTTTTCGACTGAACTAAATTTATTTTTATGTCTTGGTCGCACCATTTGGAGGGCCAGAACAAATTGCCTCGGGGGCCGAGTCCGGCCCGCTGTCCACCAATTGAATAGCCCTCTACAGGCTTCCAATTTATAAAGAAATTATGCCAAAAATCATAGCGATCAGCTTCGCCCCACCCACATTCACAATGTCATTTCCTGCTATTTCCTTAAAAGTGTTGTGCAGAAATACAGCTACAACCCCCTAAAATTGGACTTGGCGATGCCCATTATGATGATTTTTGATGATAAAATTATGGTGATGACATTATAATACAGCACAGGTGTCAAAGCCAGTTCCTGGAGGGCCACAGCTCTGCACAGTTCAGTTCCAACCCTGTTTCAACACACCTGTAGGTTTCAAACTAGCCTGAAGGACTCATTTAGTTTGATCAGGTGTGTTTAATTAGGGTTGAAACTAATGCTGCGCTCACACTAGAGTTTGAGCATGTGAAATTCTGTCGTACATCGCTGACAAACATTTTAAAAAGCGAGCGATTGGTCCATGTTTTAAATTTCTGTCCAGAGAGGTCATGTTTTGATCTTCGATTCATCTCATGAAGTCACGTGATGCAATTTTGCAGGTCAAAGTTCACCAAGCTTGAACTTTCCAACGCAGCGAACTGCAAAACTTGTCGCCCGAGCTTGCGTTTCCGCTCTGATGCAGCTTAAACTGTGCAGAGCTGCAGCCCTCCAGGAAATGGCTTTGACACCTGTGTAATACAGTATCTAATGTCACACCTGTGCATTGGCCATGTGACGATTCATCGCCATGACGATAAGCTCCGCCCCGCCCGCGTTCACAATGGCATCTTTGACGTCATCATTTCCTGCGATGGCCTTTAAAGCGCTGAGCACCTGCTTCACCAGCTCCTGAAAACACACACACACACACACACACACACACACACACACACACACACACACACACATGAGACAACAACAAATACAAAAACAAGCAGCTCTGTGTTTCTGAACTCTAATTGAAATGGATGGAAATGCTAAGATGAACACAAATTGTGAAAATGGCCATAAAAAACTATAAACTTTATATCGGATCAGAAAAAATCTGCAATGGAAACACTTTTACCGAATAAATTCCAGTATGTGCATTAAAAAATGTCATGTGATTTTGTTATAGAAGATCATGTGTTGATAAAAATAGCAATAATTAGCAAACCATCTGGCTGACCGTCACCCCCAGTGATTCAGTATTAATATTATAATAGTATTATTTCCTCCAGAACTATTTTGAGCGTCTGCACTCCCAAAGAGCATCTCACTATGGAATAAATGTACTGTCATAAATATTTCGTGCGTGAATAAAATTCACGCATCCGTAATTATAAAATCGTAAAGGAAAATGGAACGTACGCGTAATTTTAAACAAGCGAGAGTCATCGATCACAATGGCGCGGCGGCTGGGCACTTAGAGCCCCCACACACCATCTCATGGAAGAGTTTTGTTATTCCCTCTTTGATGCTGCGTTCACACCAGACGTGGAACGCGCATGAAGCGAGAGTGATTTCCATGTTAAGTCAATGCAAACGCACGAATAGACATCCTGCGGCGCGATACGCGCAAATAACATGGCACGAATGACGCAAATTGTGCGAATGGTGCGGTGCAAATGGAGCGATATGCGCGAATTGAGCGCTATGCGCGATACGCGCAAATTGAGCGCTTTGCGCGATACGTGCAAATTGAGCGCTTTGCGCGATACCGCGCGAATTGATCGCTTTGAGCGTTTCGCGCGATTCACTCGAGTTCGAAAATCTGGACTTCAGCAGACATTCGCGCCGCGTTAACCAATCAGGAGCTTGCTCATGTGGGGGCGTGATTGTGACATATCGCCTGTTGTCGGTGTTCTGGGGCAAATCCTCCAGCCGACACCGACAACAGTTCATCAAACTGGGCTGGGCTCAGTCAGAAGCACCGCTGAAAGCCTCCATCATCCATGTTCAGTTTCTGGAGGAGTTTATGAGCTCACAGAGCTGGATGCACCTCTGAAAGGATGTAGTGGACTCAGACACGAACCTAAACGTATCAACGCTGTTTTTAAATCTTCATAAAGCACGTAAACACTGTTATTTTCTTCATAAAATCCATGTTAGCCCTTTAGCTATGAAGCTAGAGTCACTGAGTAGACAGAAGCCCTGCCCATCACACGAATCCGCGTCTGTGAATTTGACACGCGAATGAAGCAGATTTGACGCGCAAATGAAGCAGGGTTTGACGCGCGAATGAAGTGAGTAAACTCAAATGTTCACATGGCTATTTATCACGATTTATCCGCGTGTTCCGTGTCTGGTGTGAACACAGCATTACAGGCAGTGAGCGCAGTATCAGTATCGCTTGTTTATTAATGCCAGTGACAGCGGTGACGTAATTTTGACAGTGGAGTGTCGCTGTTTAATTCGTACTCGTAATCAGGACTTGACGTGTCCGTGGTGAAACTGTTTTTGGTGTTTGTAAAATACACCCATCTTAAATTTATCAGTCATTTACAAACAGACCAAGGAAATTTTGTATCTGTGTCTGTTCTAATCGCATATTTTGGAATTGTACACTCGTAAAATTACGACTACGTTCCGTTTTCCTTTACGCTTTTATAATTACGGATGCCGTAATTTTATTTATTATCATGTATAAAAATGTTGTTCTCTTTGGGCGCACACACACTATGCTATCCAAACCGTGCCCAGGTCCGTTTCCCGAATCGTTTGAGAAGTGCGAGTACTCTGAATTGGGCTCAGGCACAATTTCCTTGGCCAACCCTGGCCCGGTTGGAAGAGGTTTGCCAGAGTGTGGTTCACTTGGGCTTTGGCGTGGTATGTTTTTAAGTGTGAGCTCAAAACACGCCTGAGCCCGAAACTGAAGACGACACGTGACTTTTAAGGGACTGTTAAATATGGATTTATTAAAGGGCCATGAAGCCCCCTCGTTTCAGCAGGGTGTTTTCACACCTCTACTTTGGAAAAAGTCAGAAAAGTGGGCGTGTCCAGCTCTGTTTAGGGGGGAGTGTCGGAGGAACTAAAGTGGGATGGTGTGGGAGTGTCTATTTGGGCACGCGCGAGTTTCAGTCAAAATACACAGACAGGAGAAAGTGATGGTGTTTAACCTACATGGACATCTGTAGTCGAATTATTTGCCAAATTATTAAATGTTGGACTTTAACTCAGTTTGGCTCCCTCGCGACAAACGTGATATTTGATTCGAGGAACTGCTCTAAGCGTGTATTTTTCATGCAATGTTTGATACCGCACGGCGAATGAGAGAAAAAAACCTCAGCATTTCCCGGAAACTTAGATGCACACGGCAGGTAGCGTCAGAAAGCCGCGTGTGTTATTCCGGTCACTAAATGCGGTGAAAACCCTACACGAGGTCAAAGTTTGGTTGTGATGCTAACGTGTTTACACTCGGTGACTCAGTGCAATAGTTAACTTAGTTCGATACGAGCAAACTGAATAAACAAAGAGCACTGGTCGCTCACTTACCAAATCTGTAGAGACAGGACAATCACCAGCAACTAGAGCCGAATCTTTATTAAGAGGAGACTACAAGCGTATCCGATCTCAGCGTTTGCAGATGAGAACAGCTCTCAGGTGAACAATAATCCTCCTTAGACACGTAAGTTATTGTTGTGGAGCGTCGCGTACACTGTTAATCCTCACGTGACTCCAGCTGAGCTCTCACAGAGAGAAAATTAAAACGAAACTTCACTGCAGCAAACTATAAAAGCAACACTTCACGCTTGTTTTCCCAACACAACGTGGCGTCTCTGTCGTGAAAACACTGTGACACTAATGAATATTAATGAAGTTGCACAATAGAGCGCGCTGATTGGTTTGAACCAAGCCTTAATCATGCATTAATGCATCACACTGTAAGACGTAATAAGACACACTCTGGCACAGACGTCCAGTCTGCACACTGGAATACACGCTATTATGTCATGACCGTGACGCAGCTTCAAAAATTAGTTTCAAACCGGAAGTACAAATTTACTTAAAATAACGCAAAAACAACCAATTTACACTTTTTAGTGAGATATAGGTGTCCTAATAGTGTTTTTAGCAGTGTGGGACACATATAAAAAATGTGTTTTGGTGTTTCGTGACCCTTTAAACATTCTTACTGTTCAGTGAACACAAACTGTCGTAGATTATTAAAAACACAAACTCCTCACTGCACGACAACTGCACCGACTAAAACGGCTAAAAGAATATATCTGAAGAACTCTCCATTGTTGTGAGTGAGAGCACCTACTGAACAGTGCATCATCGATGACGTAAGCGTGCCCAGGCCTGAATGTAATGTAAGTGCGGGCCGTCGGGGGAGACAGAAGGGGGATCAAGCGTGCTTATGCCCGTTTAAGACAACTGTACATAGTGTGAGAACGCCCTTTGACTTGTTAGATGAAAACCATCATTATTCGCAACTCTTTCATGCAATATTCTAGTTTTTGTGCATCAATTTAATTTGCATCTTTGGATGGAAACATAGCTATTGATCCGCCGGCTCACCTGACAATCCAGACTGTCCGCCAGGAGTGTGATCATGAATTTCAGGCCTCCAAGGTCTACGATGTCCTGACAAAACTCGTTTCTCACAGCCAGACGCGAGAGAGTGGCACAGAGTTCACTGAGCACTGATGTGTTTTCAGGATGAGCTGAAAAAAAATCATCATCATCATCATCATCATCATCATCATCATCATCAGTCGTTTAGGATTGGTTAAGCGTGCGATGAAATTAAATTATTTTTTTAATTACATGTTAATTTTAAGGGCATTCATAAGCTAGTGTGCTCTAAAACACTGACAAAATTTATGTTTGGAAGATATAAGCTTGCAGTTTTTTCCGCCTAAATGGGTCATTTTTTTGTGATTATTCACATTAAACCTCATTTGTTATGCAGAGAGTTGAGAATGAAAAGGCATGTAAATGAGAACTGCATGGCTCTTAAGCGAAAGTAAACTAAATTCCTGCTGCCAAATGTTTTTATCATTGCTAAATCAAACAATGAAAGACAAGGACAAAACTACTGCTCTTCACTGAAAGGCTTTTGTAGCTTTAATATAAGAATAATAAGAACAAAATCATAATTTTTTCTTACAGTGAAGATGCTTAAAGCACAGTTTGATTGCGAAAACTTTCTATTAGTATGTTTTTTTTACTTTTTGTCCCATTTTGCTTCAGTATTAAGAAAAATATTTGAAGATGTAGCAACCTTATTTACAGGAAGAAAAAACTATATATGCATTTAAAATTATATATACAGTTAAAGTCAGAATTATTAACCCCCCTAAATTATAAGCGCCCATGTTTATTTATTTATTTTTTCAATTTCTTTTGTAACGGAGAGCAGATTTTTTCAGCACATTTCTAATCATAATAGTTTTAATAACTAATTTCTAAAAACTGATTTATTTTCTCTTTGTCATGATGACAGTAAATAATATTAGACTAGATATTCTTCAAGACACTTCTATACAGCTTAAAGAGACATTTAAAGGCTTAACTAGATTAATTAGGTTAACTAGGCAGGTTAGGGTAATTAGGCAAGTTATTGTATAATGATGGTTTATTCTGTAGATCATCGAAAAAAATATATAGCTTAAAGGGACTGATAATTTTGTCCCTAAAATGTTTTTTTAAAAATTAAAAACTGCTTTCATTCTAGCCGAAATAAAACAAATAAGACTTTCTCCAGAAAGAAAAAACATTATCAGACACACTGTGAAAATTTCCTTGCTCTGATTAAACATAATTTGCGAAATATTTAAAAAAGAAAGAAAAATTCAAATGGGGGCAAATAATTCTGACTTCAACTGTGTATACATATATATAGTGCTCAGGATATAGGAGTTCACCCCTCACACAAATCTTTCATTTAATCAATATTTTCTTTAGGAAGCTTTATAATATTATATTTGTGCATATACATTAACCAGTTAAACTCTGCTGTTATTTTGGGATTTCCGCCTGGATTTTGCCTACCCAAATGTAAAAGCTTTCCAAATCCTCATGCAGAGGTGTAAATGCAAAACTTTGGTATAATTTTAAAGAAAACCCTTTGAATTTTGATAAAACACTATTGAAAGTGTTTAAAATATCTGTATATGTTGTCTGTGTCATAACAAACACCTAAAAAGAGGCGCTTTTTGTATTTTTTAGTTTATAAACTCAAATGTGTAAGTGTACCTTTTAGGTTGTGTGTGGTCTAGCGTGCTGTAATTAATGTTGGTGGTTCCTGCACATGTCTGTAATCATAGGAAAAAAGAAAAATGTCTCCACCATAATCTATGCAAAAGTTATTGTATTCCAACTGATGAGAGGTGCTGTACAAGCCACAGGGAGCGATCATTGTTTTCATATTTCACTATTCTTTTGTTTGATCAAACATAATTCACTGTGTTTGGAGCACGTCAGACATATAAAAGGATTACTTATGCGCATCAGCTCAAAAACAGAGGAGAATGGCCCTGAAGCGCACAGCATAAGGTAAGAGATGACAGCTGTCTGTGCTATCTGGGGCTGCTTATTGATCATGAATGTATTGTTTTCACTTCTGCACCATGGAAACATCGAGATTCATTCGGCAACTGATTGAAATGTGAATATAATTCAGTAAAAATAATGCTAGAACCGTATGAGCACCGGCAAGAGCTTTCATTTGAGCTATAACTTGTACATATGTCATATACAGTTTGTCAGAATTATTAGCCCCCTTGAATTATTAGACAGCTTGTTTATTTTTTCCCCAATTTATGTTTAACAATGAGCAGATTTTTTCAACACATTTGTAAACATAATAGTTTTAATAACTCATCTGTAATAACTGATTTATTTTATCTTTGTCATGATGACAGTAAATAATATTTGACTGGATATTCTTCAAGACACTTCTATACAGCTTAAAGAGACATTTAAAGGCTTAACTAGATTAATTAGGTGAACTAGGCAGGTTAGGGTAATTAGGCAACTCATTGTATAACGATGGTTTGTTCTGTAAATTATCAAGAAAAAAATAGCTTAAAGGGGCAAATAATAATGTCCCTAAAATGGTGTTTAAAAAATTAAAAACTGCTTTTATTCTAGCCAAAATAAAACAAATAAGACTTTCTCCAAAAGAAAAAATATTATCAGACATACTGTGAACATTTCCTTGCTCTGTTAAACATCATTTGGAAAATATTTGAAAAATATTCGAAGGGGGTGAATAATTCAGACTTAAACTGTATGAACCATATGAAAATGAACCAATGTTCAATACCCAGCTCGGGTATCCATAATACTGTGTATTTAAGTGTAAACAACTTTTGTACAGTATAATAAACACCAAAGTGGTGCATAAAATATAGATTCTACCCTTTTAAACAAAACCACTAATGGAGGTCTGGTGCAACGCTAGCCCTTTAAATCTTAAGGCAAAAGTCGATGACGTTACAGACCGGGTACCAGGTCCGCAGAGTTTAACAGTTAAATTAGTCAGTACTGAAGCCAGGGTAATACAGGGTAAAAGTTGTTATTTGCAGAATATCGCACGGCTATCAGCCAATCAGATTTAGGAACTAGACAGAACTGTTATATAAATATAAACAATTATAAATATTTGTGATTCAAATAATTGTGATTATGATTTTTCCCCTAATCAAGCAGCCCTAATGCTAAATGACAAAATGCACTGACCTTTAGCAGCTTCCACCATGACTTTCAGTCCGTTCTGCTCCAACACGATCATCTTGGCGTGTTCGTGGGCGTGTCCAAACGGCACCCGCACGTCATCATCAAAGGTCATGACCCTGAGCGCCACGCAGGCGTCTCGCACAACCTCGGGATGTTGTAAGTACCGCGTGATGCTGCCGGCCAGCAGAGGGAGAACTCCGGCCTTCACCAGATCCTGACGGTTGTTTTCGTGCTTCAGACAGCAGTTCCGCACGGTACGCACACACAGACAGACCACACCCGCGTCCTGCTGGTGCTACACACATTCTGAGAGTCAATAATTCAATATACACGATTCCTACAGCTTTTCTAAAGTCAAAGTCAAACTTTTTTTAGCATTTTTCAGGAGCTTTGCAAACTTTATAAGTGTGGCACATTAGATATTTACACACTACCTGACAAAAGTCTCGTTGTGGATCTTAGTTGTAAGAGCAACACATAATAACTTGACTTCTAGTTGATCACTGGGAAAAGTGTCAGAAGGTGTTTTTTTCAGATGAGTCATCTGTTGATCTGCATCCCAATCATCACAAATTCTGCAGAAGACCTACTGGAACCAGCATGGACCAAAGATTCTCCTAGAAATCTATCAAGTTTGGTGAAGGAGAAATCATGGTTTGGGGTTACATTCAGTATGGAGAGATCTGCAGAGTGGATGATCAACATCAACAGCCTGAGGTGTCAAGACATTTGTGCTGCCCATTACAAACCACAGGAGAGGGACAATTCTCCAGCAGGATAGCGCTCCTTCTCAAACTTCAGCCTCCACATCAAAGCTCCTGAAAGCAAAGGAGGTCAAACTGCTTCAGGATTGGCCAGCCCAGTCACCAGACATGAACATTATCGAGCATGTCTGGGGTAAGAGGAAGGAGGAGGAGTTAAAGATGAACATAAAGACTCTTGATGAACTCTGGGAGTCCTGCTGAACGCTTTCTTCTTCATTCCAGATGACTTTATTAATCAGTGATTTGAGTCATGTCAGAGATGTATGGATGCAGTCCTCCAAGCTCATGATGGAGTCAGACACAATATTCATTCTGTCTCCACTGCAGCAGGACTTTATATTCTATACTGGACATTATTTCTGTTCAGTGATGAGACTTTAGTCTAAGCAGAGTCAGACCTTACTGTCCTCATCAAATCAGTCAACATCAAGGCATGATCATATTTTATTGTGCTCAAATAAGTGTCATCTAGAGGCCTTTACCTTTCATAGAAGACACTTCTGACACCAAATGATCAACTAGAAGTCAAGATATTATTTATTGTTTATAGGTGACATGACTTTTGTCAGGTAGTGCATATATAGTTCAAGACAAAATTATTAGTCCTCCGGTGAAATCTAATTATTTTTCAAATATGTGCTGGTTAATGGAGAGATTATTTTCAACAGCAATCTTTGCCATGATGACAGCACATAATATTTGACTAAATATTTAGCAAGACACTAGTATTCAGCTTAAAGTGACATTTAAAGGCTTAGATAATGTCTAATTAAAACATTTAAATGGAGTTATTAATGAAACGTATAACATATATAACTGTAACTATAGGATAGAGGGTCTCTCACTGCTGATTTTAAAACATTGACATATGTTTCCTAATGAGATTTTATTGTAAAAAGTTACCTGTTGTACTTTATCATCCTTTTACAATTAAATTGGGTTGAAACATTTGTTTACTTTAAACATGTTTATACAATAAATCAATGTACCAAGTGATTTTGGCTGTTATGTTGAGTAAAAAAGAAAGTGTTGTGCAAAGATTAATCATGATAAATTGCATCCAAAATAAAACTTCCACATTAGCCAATTTGTGTATTACATATATTATTAATATGTAATGCATACACATAAATAAGAACAAAACTATGCAATTTCTTTTGCTTAGATATTTAAATTTATATATAATCTGTATCATACACAGTTGATGTCAGAATTATTAGCAATCCTGAATTATTAGCATCATTATTAAAATAATAATATTGACCTTAAAATAATTTTAAAACGATTAAAAACTGCTTTTATTCTAGAAAAAATAAAACAAATAAGACTTTCTCCAGAAGAAAAAATATTAGAGGAAATACTGTAAAAATTTCCTGTATCTGTTCAACATCATTTGGGAAATATTTGAAAAAGAAGACCAAAAAAAAAGGCAAATAATTCTGACCGTGACTGTATATAATAGCAGAAAATCAACATGATGCAATGTCAGATTTTCGATAATACCATGATTAAAGCAATTAGCAATTAATCATAACAAGAAAAATATGATACCATCAAAAGCCTACCTGATGCTCAGTCAAAACCCGGATTAAAAACAGCTTCCCCTCCTCATCCAGCAGATCCGGCTGGCCATCGGTCAGCGCACAGAGAGCAGCCAGAGCCACAGAAAGAGCCTCCTTATCTCCGGCGGATTTCTGGCAGCAGCTTAGGATTGTGGGATACGCGTCTTTCTGAGCAGCCAGGTATCTCTGAGCGAAGCCCAGATTGCACTGATCGGTGAAGAGTCTCAGGTCATCCAACACAGATGTGGATGAAGACGACACTGCGCTTTTCAGAGACTCTAAAGCCTGGAAATATACCACAGATAACAGTGTGAACTAGGGCTGCACGATATTGGGAAAATCTAACATTACGACATCCTTTTATTTAGCGAATGTCAATTTTATTTATATAGCACTATTATACACAACCAAACGTTGACCAATGTGCTGAACAATACAAATCACAAAGAACAAGTATAAAATTATAGCTAAAACAATCAATTCTCACTGATAAAATGCCAAATCAATCTGATTTAAAAACAGACAGAGATGATATAGACCTAATACAGAGAGGCAGAGCACTCCACAAGGTAGGACCAGCTACTGTGAAAGCCTGGTCACCCCTGCATTTCAGCCATATATGAATACAATTTCACCAGATGATTTAATATCTCCATTTGGAAAGAATTTATACTGCTAGATTATTAGGATGATTCTGCGGTGGCAGAGCATCTCCATAAAATCTAATAAACAATCGATAAAATTTTTGGGGTGCACCTACACTGTTTTTTTTAACTTAGTTTTTATTGATTTTTTAGGAACATATAACCAGTGGGAACAAAACAAGCAAATAAAAAAAATAATACATATATACATAAATATACATAAACATACATATGTATACAGACTTACAGTTGAATTCAGAATTATTCGCCCCCTTCGAATTTTTTTCTTCTTTTTTAAATATTTCCCAAATGATGTTTAACAGAGCAAGGAAATTTTCACAGTATGTCTGATAATATTTTTTCTTCTGGAGAAAGTCTTATTTGTTTTATTTCGGCTAAAATAAAAGCAGTTTTTAATTTTTTAAACATCATTTTAGGGACAACATTATGAGCCTCTTTAAGCTAAATTTTTTAATCGGTAATCTACAGAACAAACCATCATTATACAATAACTTGCCTAATTACCCTAACCTGCCTAGTTACCCTAATTAACATAGTTAAGCCTTTAAATGTCTCTTTAAGCTGTATAGAAGTGTCTTGAAAAAATATCTAGTAAAATATTATTTACTGTCATCATGACAAAGAGAAAATAAATCAGTTATTAGAGATGAGTTATTAAAACTATTATTATTAGAAATGTGCTGAAGAAATCTGCTCTCCGTTAAACAGAAATTGGGGAAAAAATAAACAAGCAGTCTAATAATTCAGAGGGGCTAATAATTCTGACTTCAACTGTATATAGGCAAATACATCCATTCCACACATGTATATCCATATACTTACATGCATAAAAACATTAAATTACCTCTTTAAAATAAATAAATAAATAAGAATAAAATAAAATATTATAAAAGGTTGCCAAACACATTTTCACAATTATACATAACCTTTAGAAATATGTAAATGTTCAATTATAATTAATTATATTGTCATTGAGGGGAAAGCCAGCCATTTCTTGTCAAAGGTGTCTAATTATAATGGAAGTGCAGGTGTCATTTTTACCATTACCTTAGCTTCAACTATATATTTTTAACCATTCACGTTTAGTTGGTGGCTCTTATTCATACCATTTCCGAGTTATGGCTTTTTTACTTGTTGCCAAGAATATCTTAAATAGATATTTATCTTCCTTTTTAAGATTAATAGGAGTATCTCCCAGATAAAGTACTTCAAATGATCTAGAAATATGAAGATCAAAAATGTCATTGATGGCGGAGAGCAGCATTTCCCAAAAACGATCAATCCTTGAGCACTGCCAGAATATGTGCGCATGATGGGCCTCTTTTACCTCACAGTTCCTCCAGCAAGGATGAGTAGTCCCCGATTGTAAAGATTTAATTTTTGGTGTAATAAAAAAATCTAATTAAGTTTTTCCAACAAAACTCTCGCCACACTCTTGAGCTTGTTAAGGTGTGTGCGCACATATTTTAACCCATTGGTCTTGATTCAGAATAATGCCTACTTCATTCTCCCATTTTAATCTTATATAGTCTGTTGAGAGTCCTCTAGAATTACTTATTGCTCTATATAATTTAGAAATTTCATCACAGTTTTCGTCATACTTTTCTTGTATGTCTGTACAAAAATCTGAACAAGCTGGTTGTTTTATATATATATATATACTATATACACATACATACATACATACATATATATATATATATATATTCTGTTCAACATCACTTGGGAAACATTGAAAAAAATATGCAAGCAAAAGTATCAAGGGAGATGAATAATTTTGCAAATCTAATGTAGAATTACCTGCAAAACCTCATGGGTTTGATCCTGTGCGTTTTCTTCAGAAGAAACCTTCGGCACTGCTTTCACAATGTTGCTGAGATCCACACCTGTGACAAATAATAAATAATCACATTGTTTATAGTATTGACCTCGGACATTTAAAAAAAAAAAAAAAAAAAGTTATGATTAAAATTATTGCATTCTAGCCAAACTAACAGAAATAAGACTTTCTCCAGGAAGAAAAAGATGATAGAAAACACTGTGAAAAATGTCCTCTCTCTGTTTATCAGCACTTGGGAAACATTTGAAGAACAGAGAAATTCACAGAGGGCGACACAGTGGCTCAGCGGTTAGCACTGTCGCCTCACAGCGAGAAAGTCGCTGGTTCGAGTCCCAGCTGGGTCAGTTAGCATTTCTGAGTGGAGTTTGCATGCTCTCCCTGTGTGCTCCAGTTTCTCCCACAGTCCAAACACATGCACTATAGGGGAATTGATTAACTAAATTGTCCGTAGTATATGTGAGTGAATGAGTGTGTTTGGGTGTTTCCCAGTACTAGGTTGTAGCTGGAAGGGCTGTGGCATCCAAGGTTCATTCTGCTGTGGCGACCCCTGATGAATAAAGGGACTAATGCCGAGTTCAGACTGCATGATTTTAGCCACGATTTTGAGAAATCGCAGACAAATGTCTGAAAACGCAAGCAAATTGGTGCTTGTTTATGTGAACAACAATCACAGTATTAAATATTCAATTCAATTTACCCCTACTTGTATAGCGCTTTTACAATGTAGATTGTGTCAAAGCAGCTTCACATAAAAGTTCAAAGTAAATTGAGACAATGTAGTTCAGTTTTAAAGTTTAAGTTCAGTTCAGTTTAGCTCAGTTCAGTGTGGTTTAATATTCACTACTGAGAGTCCAAATACTGAAGAGCAATCCATCGATGCGCAGCTCCACAGATCCCGAACCATGCAAGCTATTGGCGACAGCGACGAGGAAATAACTTCACCAATTGGCAAAAATGAAGAAAAAAAACTTAAGAGATCCAGGCTAAGATGGGCACGATCATTTCTCCACTTGCCAAGGCCTTGCGCAGAGCTGCAGTCCAAGTGCCAAGTTAAAGACGCCATCTGAGAGAATCACTGATGAGTCGCCGACACCCGTGAGATATTTGTGATGCTAAATATCTGGAGCTGTCAGTGATTCAAATCATGCCGTGTAATATGAGCTTTGACTTAAAATAACATCGGTGATCAACTACAGCCAATGAGAGAGCAGCATCCACTAGTATGGGTATCTGCAGGCCAGCGGGAGGACAGGGGAGGAGTTAAAAGGGTTAAATTTCTGTTTATTTTGATGCAAGAAATGGAAGAAAAACTAGTGTAAATTTGGCAGGAGCACTCAAGTCTGTTTGACATATCATCTGAGCAATACCACAACCGGTTCGAAATAAAGTTATTAAATAAATTGCTAATTCTCTTCAAAATCCAAGTGAGCAAAATA